AAAGTATCAAGCCAAAGAGATCCCTTATAAAAAAAAAAAAAACAATATATACTATTTAAATATTATATAAAATTTATACTAATTATCTATATATATACTTAATAGCAAAATAGCAAAATCTAGATAAATTCAAAAAAATAATTACTATTTATAAAAAATTAAATCAAAAAAATAGTTTAAAAAATTTGCTAATATATTATATATAACTATAAGAATATATAATATTTATTTAAATAAGAATTATTAATAAAATTTTTAAGATATGAATTTAGCTAGAGTTTAGAATTTGAGTATAAACAAACTAATTTTATAATAGTTTAGAATTTTGTTAACAAGTATACTCATGTAATTAGTAGTCATATTAGAGTTTTAGTCTAGTTTAGATATAAAATTTAGAGTTCATACTATGCTATTATTTTTTTTTAAAATTTAGCAGTCATGCTATGACTTTATTTAGATTTGTTTTATATTTAAAAAACAACATTATTTAGTTTTATACTATCTAATATTTAATTTTTTAAGTTTTGACTCATCTAGTTATTCTATAGATATCTATATGTAATTTGCTATAGTAACCTTTATCCTATACTAAAGTAGTTTATAATCCCTAATCTACCACAGTATAATAAAGATACTATAGCCTATTATGACTAACTTTTAAATTTACCTATTCAAAATTCCTTTCTTTACTTCCTTAGCTATGCTATCTAATACTAACTTAAGACTAAAATTACAATTTTCTACATTCTCATCTATTCTGCAGTTTATTTTTTTTTGATAGCTTTTTCTTTTAAATCAGTTTTTCTTTTTTCCTTTTGTATGTATTTTTCTTTTTTAGAAATTTTCTCTTTTTTCTCCTATGCTTCCATATCTTTGTATTAATTTTTCTAGACTTTTTTATAGATTAATTCTATTCAAATATACCAAAATAAACTCCAGAATTTAGTTATTATACTTTCAGAGCCAATGACTATTTGGATTTTTTCAGTATCCTCTTTACTAAGAATATTTCTAATCTATTCTTTTCTCTTTTGTTGTTCCTTTATCTGTTCATATTAGATAGCTTGTCATATAATTAATCAGTCCTAATCTTCCTTCTTTCTTTTATCTTCATGAAGCTATCTCTATACTTCTTCTTCAATTCTTTTTAGTGTTTGTTTTGTTTTTCATATGTGATCAAATGTCTAATCATTTCTTTTTCTTTAAGATATCTCTTGCATAAGCTATTTTTATATAATTGTAGCTTTCTACGATTTAAGGTTTCAATAGAAGGAAGAGATTTTCAATACATTTAATTTTGAACAGTTATAAGTGGTTTACTTCTGAATTTTGATACTATATTCAATAGCTTTTAAGTATAGCTTTAAAAGCTTTTTAATTTTGTTTTTAAATTTTTGTTTAGTATTCTTCATCATTTTTTTCTTAACCATATCCACTCTGCCTTATACATTATTTGAACTATTTTTTTAATGAAAGCCCTTAGTGATGTCTCTAAACTTAACTCTTTTCATTCAGGAATATATTTTATGCTGTTGTTACTAATATTATTTAGTTCTATACAGTATGCTTCATATATTCTCTCTTTTGCGAATATATCTGCTACATCATTATATGTATCTCCAGAGTAACTTTTGACCTTAATGAATGTTAACTAGACTGATTTGCTTTTGCAGACTTTCTTAATTGCTTGCATAATATTATTGTTTTTAGACTTTAAATACTCACGTGTCTTCTCATTCCTAAGGTAGTTCTCAACTACAAAAATTGCATATATGCTATTTGTTTTTATTTTAACCTTGCACCTATCAGAAACTAATAAAACTACTACTAGACAAACTACCAGCTCTGCACGAGTAGATAAGAACCAATTTTCTATTCTTCTTTTATAACTAAAAACTATATTATTTGTGCTATCTATTTGAACTATGCTAAATCCCATACTTATTTTATTTCTGGTATCTTCTCTACTGAGTGAGCCATCTGTATAGAATACTATTTCCTTCTCTTTTCTAAGGTCTTCTATATGTATTGCTGATGATGTTCCTAATGACTATTGTGAGCGTATAAATATTGCTAGTTGTCCTGAATGAATATCATTATTTGTTTTGTTAGGTTGAATAATAAAATAAACTGATGATACTAACTTTTGATTGTTTCCACAAGGAAAATCATGGTCTGCTACTCTAACTGGTTCAGTAATCGATTGTAAGGTATAGAAGGTTTTACTTACTGTGAGTATTCCAATACCAATTTTAGATTTATCGTCTTGAGAGATTATAGCTAATACATCTGCAAAAGCTTTAGCAAACTGCTTTGCTCCTTTAACTGAGGCTAAGCAATAGTCAATAAAAGTTTTTTTAATTAAATTAAAAAGAACAAAAGATAATTCAATATATGAAACTTACTTTGGCAAAAATATTTCTGTTTTAACAAATTAATTTTTTTTTTTTTTAAATAAAAGAAAATCGACATTTTAATTAATTTATCGAGCATTCTGCTTTAGATCCTTTTTGTCTATCTAATGCTTTTTTAACGAGCTTTAACGTTCTTAATAATAAATATTATAATTATATACTTAGCATTTATGTAGATATAAGTACTTAAAATTAGTTGTAAAGAATGACATCCGTTTTTTAAATTACATACTCAAAATACGAATTATCTTTAATAAAGCATTTCGCCAAAATTTAACATACATAACTTACTACATGAAACGAAATTTCTTTAATGATGATATTAAAGTGAGTTGATTATTTTAAAAATGATAAATTTTTTTAACAAATACTTAAAACATATATTCTGAAAGCTGTTAATGAATTTAACACGCCAATTACATCATTAGATTTTGAAGTTAAATTTCGATTCATTGCTAAAAAATAAGAAAATTAATTAAAAAAAAAAAAACCTGTTACATAAATTTAAGCGAAAAATGTTATCGTTATACTATTTAAACACAACACTAAATATAACACTACACGTGATTATGCATGCGACAGATATATATTTAGTTACTCAATGTAACATACGGATTTTTTATTGCTTCAAAATGTCAAAGAAAATATCAAATATTTTTACCAAAATAACTGATAAGTTTAATAAATTGAATTTAAAAGATAGTAATTCACAAGATTTTCTTGGTGAAATTGTTAAAGAATTGTGTAATCTGTATAATGAAGAAAATTCTAAAGGCAAAAGTTCTCCATTAATTTTTGAAATATTGGAACAATTTCTAGCCGAAAAAAAAAACAAAATCCAGATAATATTATCAATTGGTGCTTGAATGATGAAATAAATTCTACGGTTCAACTTATTCTTGCAGGGTGTTACTATTATGGTAAATGGGTTGAAAAAGATGACAATAAGGCATTCATTTATTACAAAAAATCTGCTGATATGGGTAATGCCAGTGGAATGTACAATGTTGGTGATTGTTATTATTATGGATATGGAGTTGAAAAGGATTATCATAAGGCATTTATTTATTATCAAAAATCTGCCGA